TGGTGGTCAGTACATGTCATAGCAACTGGTGTTATGCTGTCTGGTCAATTTGCATATTATCCTTTGATTATATAGGATCTGAGATGACAGTCATTGTGACCATCTTTGGAAACCACAAGCTACCATTTAAAGCTTTTTTTGAAAAGACCTATCAATAGGTAATATATTGGGCGGAAAAGCATGAAAAAGTGAGGCAAATGGCACAAAGTGAAAAGATACAGAAAATAATGACAAATAATAATCATAATTCCTGAGATCAAACTCACTCATTAAAAGACAAAGATACAGAAGAGAAAAAAAGGCATATTTATAAGAGACACCTCTAAATGTAAGAACAAAGAAAGCAAACAACAGCAAAATATACATGGAAAATTCTAACCTGCAGAGAGAAATGAGTTAGTTATCTTAACATAAGACTACATAGACTTTTAGATCAAAAACTCATTTTTATATATAGAATCACTATTTTAAAAAATCCACTTGATAGTCTCAGTACACGGAGATAATATCATTAATATTTTTCACAGTATTTTAAACCTTTCAGTACCCAGGGTGAGAGAAACCAAGCAAGCATCCACGTGTACAGAATTACCTTTCAGTCATGCCGACTCTTTATACCATGCTCCATGTAGGGACAGGGCAGAAGAAAATATACCTGCATATTAATGTGGTTGACTTGATGAAGGATAACCGAGTTAATTTTTCTTCCTACTGTCTTATATTTTTCAAGTTTTCACTGCTGAGTACATGTTATTTTTATACCAGGGGGAAAAACTTGGAGAAAAAAAAAAAGAACATTCTAAATCTCTTTGGATTAAGAATTTTCCAGAAACCCAACAATCAAGTAAGTCCAGCATCTTTTACTAGTTATGACAACTGGTTTTTATGGCTCTGGTTTCTAAACTTGGCACTAATTAAGTTAACAAGCATGATTTGTCTGTTATCAGTCAGCTCTTGTTATCAATAAGCCCTTACTAAGCACCTTCACTTTGAAGGAGGATAGCTCAGACATTGAATTAAAGTTCACAGCCAGGGCCTATGTATCTCTCCTGGAGAGAACAAGACAGACAGACTGATAGGAAAGGTGGAGCAGGAAGACGCAGGAAATTCCACAACAGCATAGAAGGGGCAGAACAGGAAAGAGAAGTTCGGTGAGGGATGTGACTGGAGACCAGGGATTCACAAACCAGTTACTGGTAATGGAGAAGGTTTAAAGACAAGATGAGATGGAGAAAGGAGAAGAGATCAAGAATGATTAGTGAAAGGCAGTCCCTGAGGTTTCCCCATTTGCTCTCTGAGTGGGGTTAAATAGACTGAGGCAGAATAAGGGTAGAATAGAAAGCCGTAGGGAATAGACAGTGGGGCATTATCAATGGAGAAGCCATAGTCTTGGTTGGTAGAGAAGGCTTACACACACACACCATGAGTGATGTCTATAAGCCACTGTCATTCAAACAAATTAGTGTAATTTCATAAATTGGATTTTTCTAAGAGGGTACAAAAATTATTCATGTAGGTTACACAAATCACTGTCCCTGTTGTTTTTTAAATGTGCCTTTAAAGGGACCCTGTATTTATTTATTTTTTAACAATCTTTTTTAAAAATATATATTTTATTGATTTTCCACAGAGAAAGGGAGAGAGATAGAGAGCTAGAAACATCGATGAGAGAGAAACATCAGCCAGGTGCCTCCTGCACAACCCCTACTGGGGATGTGCCCGCAACCCATGTAAATGCCCTTGACCGGAATCGAATCCGGGACATTTCAGTCCGCAGACCGACGCTCTATCCACTGAGCCAAACCAGTTTTGGCTAAAGGGACCCTTTAAATGACACTTTCTGTAAAAATGAAAGGAGTTTCAGTGTATAAAACAGAAGGCAATGGAGCAATTACTCAGACACCTGCTCAGACCTTCCTTACAGCTCTGACGAAGAGAAGCCATGGCATGCCAAATGTTCTCAAAGTGTATTCTGTAAATGCCACACAGCCCCACATTTTAACTCCGAATTCAAAACATTCCAAACATGTTCTCCACAGCTGGAAAACAATCATTGACTGTTTTTGCATAAGGCAGTTTCAGGCAAAAATATAAAAGTATTTCCTTTAGATCAACTGGAGCAAACAGTGGCCTTGGATTTGTAGAGGACCTAACGGTCTGTGGAATGGTTTCGTGCACATAACTCTGTTTTCTTCTTCAAGCCATCATCACTCTTTCAACGTTTCATGACTCCTCAACTCCCAACCCCAGCTTAAAACACTTTAATGATTTCCCATTCCTCTCGATTATAAAGACCAAAACTTTTATCATGGTATCTAATCTCTACCACTAACTTTATCTCACAATACCCTTTGCACTTTAGCCATGCAGACCTTTTATCAGTTCCTCAAATGGGCCACAGGACTTTTGCACATTCTTGTCCATTTGTGTTGGAAGATTTTTTCCATTCCCCATTTTGCCGGTTAATTCCTCCCCTTACTTCAGTTTTCAGCTCTATTGTCACTTCCTCAGGGAAGCCTTTCCCAGTCTCCCCTACCATGTCAAATTTAAGGTAGCTCTATAAGCCTTCTTTTCTTAGCATTTAACCCAATTATAATTACATATGTATTTGTATGACTATTTGAATACCTTTGTCTGTACCAGTAGACTGTAAGTCCTGAAAAGGTAGCGACTACATCAATTTTTGCTCATGAGTGTATCTATAATACTAGTTCAGCTAATGACACATATATTTCACAATATTAAATGAATGAATACATGAATAGTCTCTGTGTAGAGAGAAGATGCTAAATCTATATTTGATAAGTGTAGAAACTGAATCTCACAGTGTTTGAGGGATTTGCTCAAAGGGCACAGAATACAAATATGTAATTCCAAGGTATCTGATTTCTGATTTCAAGACCAGGAAATGTCTCATTCCAAGGAGTAGGAAGTGATGCATGGCACACAGTAGGTATCTAGTGCAAACTTGTTGAACAAAGAAACAGAAACAAAAATGAAAGTAGGAAGGAATAAATTATGAACTTCAACATTGTGAAGAACATACCTTTCTAGACCTTAGCTGAATTTTGAACTAGATTATCTCTGCTCTCTGAAAACCTGAGGTTCTATGCTTCCAACTTTCTCATACTTTAGATTCTAACAGCAAGCACCTACATGTGCTGGCTGAGTTGCTTGGCAGCCCAAATTTGATTCTGTTTTGGATCACTTTCAATGTATTCAAAGAGCAACTTTCACTATGCAACAAGAGGCAACTGGAGGAGCAATTTCATCAAGGATAACATATGGTGGCTAAAAAAACAATGGAAGGCTATTTCTGCTTCAGGTCCCAATGACCCAACTAGCCTACAAGACCTTTGATTATAGGGACTATGACTCATTCGACATCACATACGCCAAGTATACCTGACATTTAGAAAGCCTATTGAGTTAAATGCTAGGTAGCAACTAATCAGTAGATAAATTTATTGTAAGGGATGAGTCCAATTACATCAGCCCATGTAATAAAGTTTATCTTATCAGGGAGCTTTTAGTGTCCTCACTATAAACCCAAAGAACTAACTCCAATGCTATAAATTCTAAGAACTCTGAAATGCCAACAATTGGGTTTTATTATTAAATATTAAAATATTTTTTAAAATATTATTCTATTTCTTACCTCTTAACTAAGATCATTGAACTTTAGTCTGTATCAGGCACAAAACTAGAATGTTGCATGCCTTATCTCATTTAATCGTCAAACAACTCTGTGAGTTATTATTACTCCTGTTTTCAAATAGAATAGTTGAGGTAAAGTAATTGAGTTCCTTTCTCCAGGCCCAGGGTTAGTAAGTGGCAGGGTAGGGATTTGAACCCACGTCTTAAAGCCTATACCTAAAACCTGAACATGCTATTTTCTACCAACTATGACTGTGGGTCGTAGTTTTAATGTTTATCTTCACCCCTTCTTACTTTTAATTTCTTGTTCATTTTACTCACATAGAACCTTTCACTTATTTCCTAATTCTACCTGGCAGAACCTCACCACCTTTACTAACACTTATTATCAACATTTTTAAGAACTTCCTTTACTCCTCAATTTTACACATAAGAAAACTGAAACACAGAGCAGTTACATAACTTGGCCTAAGTAGCAGCACTATGAAGGATGAGAATCCAGAGTGAACCCAAGGGCAAGCATATACTTTCTTAGGCATTTCCACATCATTTGGAAGTTTACACGTCAAGGTGTCTGGCACTGTAACCCAGCCTGAGTCAGTCCAATAGCTGTGAGCAAAATCACCTATGAATGTAATGCCTTATTTTTCAAGAAAAAAATCTCCACATTTCCTTGTTTATTAAAAAAAGGTGCTAAAATCAGTGCCATGCTGTAATTTCACATCATCTGCTTCCTTTCGGTGGTCTCAGTTCTGCTTTCTTCACTAATTCCCATTGCCCTACATTAGACTTCCCTTGATCCTTTCAGGAAAACAGATAAATAACCTCGAATCCATATTCATTTTCTTATTTGTTTTGTTTTTTTTTGTGTTTTGGTTTTTTGTTTGGTTTTTGTTTCTTTGTGTTTGTTTTTGTTTTTTTCATTTACCAAGAGATAATTGTCTACCATCATAGAAGTTTCACATATAAGATCTTTATTTTTTATTTAAATATATTTTTATTGTTGACAGTATTACAGGTGTCCCCCTATAAGGTCTCGATAGAGTCATAAGCACTCACATTTACTGAATCTTTATATCAAATGTCAGATGCTGGGCTCAACTTCTTCACCCAGATCCCCCATTTATAGCATCTTTTATTAGCCCTGTGTCGCAGGTGAGAGGCTGAGAACCCTGTCACGGGGCCCACGCTGCATTTCAATGTGTCTGATTCCAGAATCTGAATTTTTAACCATTCAACTTACTCTCAGCCCCTGCTTCCACTCTTCCAGTCTCTTCCCCCACCGGACCCTTGTAATGAAAGAAGGTTATTCACACAGAAAGAAAAAAAAGTAAACCGAGTACCTGATAATGCCCAAGTCGTCTCCATTCAAATCTACCATTTTCAAGACTAGCATTTCCTTGTCTACATTCGAAGAATACCTGGTCACCAAAACAAAGAGATGTAGTGAGTTTCATGTGAGAACCTGGGTACCCTGTAGGACAAACAAAACCCAGCACGCCTCTCAGGAAGCCAGGCTCCCCGACATGCCGCAGTTCCGGGCCTGCACCCAGGACCTCAGTCCTCAGCTGAAGAAATGGCTTGCAATTGTGACCGGTACTAGGGGCATTTGGTTGGCTAGCTGGAGGTGAAGTATACACGTTTATGGAATAGACACACGATTACATAACATGTATTTCTTACAAAAAGGATTTCTCTTTGAAATGTCTACTGGGAACCCATTAGCAGGAAATATGCAGAATCAAAAGCATTCAGGACCTGTGACTTAAAATGTTTTCATGTCCTTTTGTTCTTTGTCTATCGCAGACAAATGTATAATAAAATGTCAAGTGGTCAGATTGACTGAGGTATTCTTTTACATTGCCATAGTAGCCAAGTTCGCTCTTTGCTGCGAACCTGACTCATCTCTTAAAAAGACAAACAAATCATCTCCCTTAATTGTGCCATTATTTATTTTCATTTTATTTCTTGTCCTTTCAGTGTTTTCATTCAATTATCTCCTTTCTCTTGCCACATTCTCTTGGTCTAATGTGATTTCTTCTGAATAACATAATAAAAAGAGCTACTCATTAATTTAACAAATACTTGTTATGCACATTTTTATCTCCATTGAACAAACCAAGAAACTGTGAGCCAATAAATAAAGATAAGTAAATCAGCTGTCGTCATCACCGTAGATCCTAAAGGTCACCCAGATGAGACAGATTCCACAGACAGGAGGCCTTCAGATATTCACACTGATTCTCACAGCCCTCCAAGCAGGAAGACAGGTTGCTGAGTATTTTCTATGTTTACTTTTTATTTCTGCTTGTCTTAGATTATAAACATGCTTTTCAATTATTTTACCTCTGATACTTTCTTAGGATCCCATCATATTCATCAAGTAAACAACCTTGTTTTATTTATTTATTTTTTTTAAATTAATTTATTTATTTATTTTACATATTTTATTGATTTTTTTTGCCCCCCTCTTTCCCTCCCACATATCCCCTCCCTCCCCAGAGTTTTATGTCCATTTATTTTTTTAATTGTTTTTTAAAGGAAACCCTTCAAAATCAATTGATTTTTTTTTTTTTTTTTTTTTTTTTACAGAGAGGAAGGGAGAGGGATAGAGAGTTAGAAACATTGATGAGAAAGAAACATGGATCAGCTGCCTCCTGCACACTTCCGACTAGGGATGTGCCCACAACCAATGTACATGCCCTTGACCGGAATCAAACTTGGGACCGAGCCAAACCGGTGAGGGCACAACCCTGTTTTAGATTGTCTCCGTTTCCTAAAGGAACACATGATTTCACTGTGATAATAACCCTCCTCACCTTGCTCTCTCTGCCGGTGGGTTTTGAAGATAAGAAGTGGGGCTTCGGTTGATCTGCGTACCATCCACAATTCCTTTATTCATAAAGATCTTTCCTGGTTTCATATTTGTGTGTGCTATCTCAATGCTCTGTGTGTTTAAAAAAAAAAAAGAGTTGTCAGATTAGAAATCCTATTGAGGATAATGACTTAGTCCATATAACAGAAGAGACCTCGAGACCTTTTCCTTGGGCTCCAACCTGCTCCCACTACAGATTAGAGCTGGAGAACCACACGGGCTGGTGTCCTTTGGTAAACAGACTGGCCTTCAGGTTGAGAGAGAGAGTGCTCCATGTGAAGAAGCACAGGGCCCATCAACACTGCCTGGCGAGTCAGCACGTCTGCCAGTTCAGATGGCCCAAATGGGAAACTCCACTCCTACAACTGGTAGGTATTTCCACCCTCCCCACCCTCTCTACCCCACCATCTTCTCACAGTTTTTCAAACTTTGCGAAGCACAAAAAGCAATACACTTTCCACCATAACTTAGTACACGTCAGCATATATATTCTAAAATAAAGTTCACAATATATTTGAAGCACTATGGTGTCTTCCAATTTTTTAATTTTATTTTTATTTTTTATGTTTATGGCAACCCATGAAACTGATTTCATGAAGCCATTTATAGATTGCTTGAAAAACAGTGTTGCAAAGCAATGTCTGCCTTTGCCACCTGGGTCCCTGGGTTTGGGGGTACGGAGGGGTGGCTTTACAAGACAAAGTAGAGAGACTAAACCGGAAAGGCAAAGGAATAAAGAATAAAACCCTGTGCGAGAAAATAATAAACTTGAAGACAGGAAAGGGAGGACTACCAAAATGTACCCAAACCATGTTGGGAGGAAGGTGGGGGTACTGGTAGGAGCACCAAGTCAGTCTAAAGCTGTTGTAGAGGACTTGAGAAATTTACCAATTAGATTTCCCTTTATGCTCTTTGGGAAATACAAGGAAAGAATGGAATTATTTGTAATGTTGGTTCCTTGATGGGTTGGTGTCCTTTCGTGTGACTTCATGCAGAGACAGATCATGGGGCCCTATCACATACAAACTGTGTTTGTCTCTAGATGACTGTGTGAAGTTATGCCAGAGTCCTCCTCTCCCAATAAGTGCCTCAGTCTACCAGCCCACAGCTCAGGATCAGAGTTACGGGGGTGGGAGGTGGGGGTCATGAAGAGGGAAGGGAGGCCTGTGCTCAGACGAAGGTTCTATAGGGACTGTCTGCATAGCACACTGAGCAGTGGGGAAGAACAGCTGCCTACCTTCACGATGCCAGTGACCATGTAATCAAAAGTTCGATTGCTAAATCCTTCGCTGGCAATTACAAACACGGTATACTGGAAATACCCGGCTGGTCCCGAGTGCGTGTGAGTGCCACTCAGGATCACATTGTCTCTCCTGTACAGGGAGCCATATTTACTCTTGAGTCTGTTCAGGACCTTCAAGAAAGAAAGAAAACAGGACTAAGAAAACAGAGATGACATAGGAGCTTAGCATAAGAAAGGCTCTGGTTAGCGCAATCACTGATCCATACCAATGACTTCGCTGTCTGTCCAGTGGCCCTTCACTCTATATCTCATCATGGTATATCTACAGTGCACAAATAGTTTATAAAGGTATATATAGCTTCAGTACATCATCATAGCAATAATAACAACAGTCATCGCAATAGCTAACATTTCATAGATTCTTGCTATGTGCAAGCACACAATGCTAGGTATCACATACATTATGGCATTTAAAAATCATAATAACTTCAAGAGGTATGTATTTTTAACCCTGTCTTTTAGCTGATAACATTGAAGTGTGCAAAAATGAAATAATTTGATCTAATAAGTAGCAGAGCCTGAATCCAGATCCAAGTCTAACTATAGAGTCAGTTCTCTTCCCCATTCATCTTTTCACACAGACCATTAATATCCAGGCTCCATTCTAAACACTAGGAAAAACTCTGAAGAAGTTTTTATTCTAACGAGAAAGATAATACAGTGATGAATGTTATGAAGCAAAATGGGAAAAAGAGTGTGATGGGTGTTCATGAGGAATGATCTTTCCAAAGAGGTTCCCCTTCATTGGAGCCTTAAATGAAGAGAGCAATACCTGGGTGAAGAGCACTGTGGGAGCAGTGAACAGACAGTGCAAAGTCCTCTTTACTCTACTGCCTCACTTCCCAAAATGAAGAACTCAATATTCCCTGGCACCAACTATTACTTATTGATCTGGAGGAAGCCAACTCTATGACCAGTGACACCCCAACAATCCCATGGAGAGGTCCTTGTGGAAAGGAACCATCTGGTCAGCACTAACTTGCTAGCCATATGGGTAAGCAACCTTATGTAAGCCATAGTTAACCCTTCAAACAGCTGCCATGAGTTCAATCTCATGACACAGAAGTGATAATACATGACTTCTATAGTAACTCTTAAATCAGAATCACCCATCTAAGTCTCTTTGGTTTTCCTGACCCACAAAAGTCCTGAACAATGATATATGATTATTCCTGCTTTAAACTGAGTCTTCCATATAACTCTTTGTATGGAAATATGTGATTAATAACAAAGAGACTCAGTAACTGTTCATTTCATTAATTAATTAATGAACATCCAAATGCATGATTAGGATCTTTGTATGGTACATACACATTAAAAAAAAAAACCAGGAAGAAGACTAATGATGTTGCTGAGTACCTATTTCTGTTTTTGCTTTAATCCATGGCAACCTAGAGTTAAGTATTATTGTGGCTTCTTTATGAAAAATACATTCCCTTTATAGCTCTTTCAGTCTTCCACTGTAAAACTCCACTGTATTAAATCCCCCCTGTTTGAAATATCTAATGTGATTACTGTTTTCCCAACTGGACCCTCACCAATAGAAACTTGACATTAATTTAAAGAATCTGCCCATTTGTCTTCTCCTCTATTTCTAGTCTATTCCAATCCACCTCAAATTCACCATCTGAGTAATCACTATAATGCAAAATTGTGATTGCATCACCTTTCCACTCAAAAGTTTTCTAAGAATCCCCATTACTTACAGAATTAAAAACAACCTGTCATCCCAGGACCTCTATAATTATGAACACACATTCCAGGCACATCTCCAATTACATGCCTACATGTGTCCTAATAGAACTAACTAAGCGTTGTTTCTAGAGTCTCTATTCCTCCCCTGTGTTCATGCCATTCCCTGCATTTCTCAGCTCTCACTCATGTAAACCTTTTAAAATTCTGCCCATTCAAGTGTCACTTCCACTTTGCAAAATGTTCCTCTAATTTTCATTTCCTGAATCTCCATGTGGTGGTTTTAAAATATTGTATACCCACAAATTATCTGATACTCTTGCCTTCAAGAAGTGAAATTTAACTTTACTATCACTGCATGTGAAATGGACTTAGTGACTTGCTTCCAATGAATAGAAGAGGGTGGAAGTGATGGTGTCTGGGTTAGGAAAAGCACTGTGGCTTCTTCCCTGCTCTTTCCCTTGAATTACTCGCTCTGAGTAAAGCCAGCGGCTCTGCCAAGAAGATATGGACAATGGGCAAGTGAGGCCTTCTGCCAACAGCCACATGAGTAAATATTCTTGGAGGTAGATCTTCCAGCCCCACTCCAGCCTTCAGATGATTGCAGTCCTTGCCAATATCTTGATTTCAAGATACCCTAAGCTAGAAACCCCGAGAAACACATAATCAGAATAATAAATTCCCATGTCTGCCTATCACACAGACATGGGAATTTATTATGTTATTCTGATTATGTGTTTCAGCAATCTATGGCCAACCTAATTTCAGTGTTGTATTTTTAATTCTCATCAGGTTATTTTCATCTATTTTCAGTTATCTAGAAACTTGAAGGAAGGGTTACTGATTAATTGACACTCTCAGACCTCTATCAAGGAAGATTAAATGAGAGAATGTATGTGAAGGCCCCCTGGATTGTAACAAGCTTTCAAACAACATTAGCAATCTATAATGATGTACCAACAACAGAACTAAAAGCAAATCTTGGCCAAGATAAGTCAGAATGGGAAAATTCAGATCACTCTTGTCTCCTGGATTGTCAAGAGCCTGTAACGTTGCAGGTAGTAGAAACTCACTGGGTGAAAAACCAGGAGGTCTTAGCTACTGAGTTTATTTTAACATCAAGTCATTTCTTCCTCACATCAATCACTTACCTCCAGCCTCAATCGTTGGGATACCATGCCTATGTCGATGCTCACAAATGCCATTCGATTGGACCCATCAGGCTCTGCCATGACGAAAGCACGACTGTACAACCTGGTGAGGAGGCCCCGTGCATTCTGGCCACTTTTGCTGTAGCCCATCTAGAGGGGGAAAGACCATCAGAACCCATCTGGGGGAGAGAGAATCATAGGCTCTCTATCTCATCTCGCCCACCCCAGCCCCAACAGAAAGCAGGCTCAGCCATGGAGGAAAAGACTACTTAGGAAAGGCAAATAAAAAATCCACAGGTCACTGAAAGTGAAAGCTCCTAGTGAGATAATACATGTGTTTTCAATAATAAAGCCAACAACATAAAAGAGTCTTTACTCTTCTGTGTAGAAATAAGTAAAGGCAAAGTAGCAATAAGCTTGACAGAAGCTATTCATTGCCCTATGGGTGAGGAAGGAGCTGGTGTAGCCCAGAATTTTGTTACTGTCCTGGAGAGTTTTCAGGGCTTCTCTGTTTTTTTGAAACAAGACCTTTCCTCTTGCCAGTCTAAGGTACTACACAAGGAAGTAGTTCCTCTTCCACCATGCACAGTGAGGGGAAACATCCTGAAATTGAAGGATCCCTCCCTTGAGTTGCTAATGTGTATGTTTCGTTTTGTTTTGTTTTCAACCTGAGGAAAATGATTTCTTTATGGTTAAATACTCAACCCTGGCTTGTTGTATGTTGTCCCTCCCTAAGTCAAGTCAGATCAAATACATCTGCCCCTTCTCTCACCATGTCATAAAACCCACCCTTAAAAGTCCTCATAGGTCTTCAGAATGCTCCCTCTACTGCTTGCTTTACCCTCATATGGGTGTTTATTTAGGGTTAGATCGATTCAAGAGTCAGTTATCAGGACAGCAAAGAATACAGTTTACCCTTAAACAACGCAGGTTTAAACTATGCATATCCACTTATATATGACTTTTTAAAAAAAAATAAATACAGTCAGCCCTTCAGATCCACAGGTTTCAAATCCTTGGAGTCAACCAACCAAGGATTGAAATTAGTATTTTTACATTACCAACCGTGGATCAAAAATAATGTTTTGATCTGCATTTTGTTCAAGTACCTAACCCCCTCATTGTTCAAGAGTCAACTGTAACTCCTTGAAGCTAAAGATTCTTCGGTAGACAGGAGACAATCCCATCAGACAACCTCATGCTCTGGTTTCCTAGGGAAGGATTGATATCAACAGCGTTACCACCATCAGAGCGAAGAAGTTGCATGCTAATAGCCAACAGACCACACCTAACACATGGAAGGTTTTACTTGGCTAATGCACTGTTGGCTCATGCTAGGTTTCCAGTTTTAACTAACTAGAGTTGCTTACATTTTCCAAGTGACCTATTTCAACCCTCAGATCTTCAACCCAGAGATGTTTCTGCCTTCTCGTGGAAAAAACTGTCAGATGTAGCAACCTAAGTCCACATGCTTACATGGCAACAATGAGCTGAAACTGTGCACTTCCTAGATGCACCACCATGCCCACAGCTTCCGACTGTCCCCAAACTGAGGATCACTAGATGTTGAACATCTTACACTGACCTGCTTCAGTCACTTACAGTACCTGCTCATCCTCTCATTTGAATTTCCTAGCCCTGCCATTTCATAAAAAGTGGCCAACTGTCTTGACATGGGAGTTGTGGTTGAATAAATGAACCCCTCTTCCCTATAGGACAATACTCATAGTGTTACACAGCAGTGAAGTCAAGAGAAAAGCAAGATGATGCTATAACAACCAGGAATAAATGCAGGATTCAAAATAATAAGACTTTATTTCACAGTCTCTTTGAGGAGCCCACGATTTACCTACCATATTGATATCCGCTACTTGTCCTGTGCAGTCAGCTCGCCCAACACCTATGTGGTAGCCACTGAAGTTCTGAAAGAGAGGAGGCTCTGGGGTAGTAGTCACTGGGGACGCCTGGGTGGCTGTGGGGCCTTGTGTGAGTGTGGAGCCCTGGGTAGCTGTGGGGCTCTGGGTGGTCTGAGGGCTCTCAGTGGATGGAAAACCTAAATCCAAAAATAAAATAAAGTATTTGAGACTTGAATCAGGGTGGTAAACATACCATACAGATGATGTATTGTAGAATTCTATAGCTGAAACCTATATAATTTCATTAACCAATGTCAACCAATAAATTTAATTAAATAAGTAAATATATAAAATGTTAAAAAATAAAAATAGAGTAAGATATTTAAGAAACAGCAATTCAGATAACTTTGATCATTTATGTGTCAGCATCAGTTAGAACATATAAGTTCAGGTTCCTGAGGATAAAAAAAATCTTTGTATATTGTTTATGTGTGTGATACATGGTGGAAAACATCTCAGGAACTTGTTTTATATCATTCCTAAGAATGATCTTTTTCTTTACTGCACATGTTTCAGTGAAACAATCAAGGTCTCCATCAAACCTCCTTCAGCTTCTCCTCATAAGCCATTCCTTTTCAAACTCATTACCCTTCACTCACTCACCATGCACTTCTACTCCAACCAAACAAATTATGTGCCAGGTTCCTGGCACACAACCTACTAAACACAGCCTCTTGGGATTTGTTCTTGTCATTCTCTCCATCCAGAGTCCTTATTCCTTTCTTCTTCTCCAACCAATCTCCACTTCCAACTACAGAATTGATTCATTTTCATCACACTCATCTCTAGGATGCCACCCCAGCTGTCTCTATCCTGCTTTGATCTTCCTCGGCCTTCTCAAGACTTTTATTCTTTTTTTAAAGACTTATTCTTAAGTATATATGTAAAAATTATATATAATTTTTTATTGATTTTTAAAGAGAGAGGACGGGAGAGGGGGAGAAACATCAATGTAAGAGCGAAACATCAATCAACTGCCTCCTGCACACCCCCTACCATGGATTGAGCCTACAATGTTGCTGGGAATCCAACCTTTTTTCCATGTATGGTACCATGCCCAAACCACTGAGCCACAACGGCCAGGGCTAAAGACATATTCTTAATGCAACCTACATCATATATGTTGACATAGTTCTATCTTATGCTAATGATTCTCATGTCACCATATATGCATAAGTACACACTATATTTCTTATCAATATTTATTTCACATATACATATAAATATCAGGGAGGCAGAATATTAATAAAAGAGTATTATGCTAATTAGACCAGGAAACCTTTTGGAGATCTTCCAGACAAAGCCAGTGGCTTGGCTGGCCTGCAAACCACCTCCAAATTGCCCTCAGCCCCTTGCCCAGTCTGGTCACACACCCCAGCTGGGGACCCTTACCCCGATGGGGGAGTGGCCAGCTTGCAAATGACCCTCAACCTCTCATCCAGGCTGCCATGCCCCCCAGCAGGGACCTTACCCCACCCCAATGGGGGCATGGCTAACCTGCAAACCGCCCCAGCCTCTCACCCAGGCCAGTCCTGACCCCCAAGGACTCCCTTTAGAGAAGACCAGCCAGTACCCCTTTCAGGGAAGACAAGCCAGTCCCCACCCATGCACCCGGTCTAATTAGCATATTACCCTTTTATTAGTAGAATAGAGATCATGCAGGTCTCTATTCTATACTAGTAAAAGGGTAATATGCTAATTAGACCAAGAGACTTTCCAGACGTATTTCAGGACAAAGCCATGGTGCCAGGGCCGAGGCAGAGGTGGTTTGGGGCAATCAGACCAAAAGGGGAGGACAGTTGGATGTGTTTAGGTCATCAGGAGGGGCCAATTGGGGGCAAGCAGGATGATGGGGGAGTGGGGAAATTGGAGAGGAGCAGGCTGGTGAGGGTGCAGTTGAGGGTGATCAGGCCAGCGGGGACAGGCAGTTAGGAGTGATCAGGCAGGCAGGCAGGTGAGTGGTTAAGAGCATAGTGGTCCTGGATTGCAAGAGGAATGTCTGACTGCTGGTTTAGGCCCAATCCCCTAAACCGGCAGTTGGACATCCCCCGAGGGGTTCCAGATTGGAGGGACATTCCACCCCCTGCATGAATTTCATGCACCAGGCCACTAGTTGAGAATAAAAGGACAGGTGCCAGAAATCTGGATTTGAAAACCGACTTTACCAATTACTGCCTAAACAAATTACTTAAGCTATCCACCCCAATTTTTCTCATCTGTACAATAGAGATAATAATAATAATACCCTGCTTACAAGGGTTATTTTGAACAATAAATATGTTAATGTATTTTTAAAATATAGAGCAGTGACTGCCTTTTAGGTTTTTGTTTTATTTCTATATTTTGACATTTTACATCTACATTTTACTTGTTTGTTTTCAACCCGGACAACAGCCAGGGATGACCAAGGCAGCAGAGGTCAGTGTCAGAAGGCATTAGTGCTCAGGAAGTACTTAGGCGAGAGATAGCAACTAACTCATTATGGAATCCTAGACTTCTGGACCTCAGAAAACAAAACAAAAAAACAAACAAAAAAAGCAACACTTAGAGATCACCTGGTCCAATCGCCTCACTTTACATATAGGAATATTAAAACCAAGAGAGTGACTTAACCAAGATTTCAGAGAGCATATGATTAATCATGTGACCAAACCAGATCTTCCAACTAAGAATCTGATGAGCTTTCAACCACATTCCAAAGGGAGTTAGACCACATTCTCTACTGGACATCTAGTATTACCAGAAAGGAAGCAGGAAGCTTTGCTATTGCTTTATTGACACTGACATAAGGATGTGGTGCAAACCAAAGCAAAACTTACATAGCCAAGGGCAAACTCTTTGAGATCTCAAAGTCTCAGCTTTCACATCTATAAAATGATACTAAGACTGGCATCTACCTTCATAGGAACCTTATTAGAATTAAATAAGAAACTGATGTAGCTCCTGATTACAGTGCTTGCTACAAAGAAGCCCTTCAATAAACAGCAACTTCCACTATGGGAATAGTTGCTGTAATTATCCCTGTCTCTCTCTCGCGCGCGCACGCGCACGCTCTCTCTCCTTCTCTCTCTCTCTCACCCAAGGATATTTTTCCCATTGATTTATAGAGAGGGTGAAAGGAAGGGAGAAGGAAGGGGGGGGGGAGGAAGGGAAGGTGGGATGAAAGATGAGAGAGAGAGAGATCTACGTGAGAGGGACCTATCTATTGGATGCCTTCTGCTCATACCCTCACCAGGGCCAGGGATGGAACCTGCAACCCAGATACATGCCCTTGACTGGGAATTGAACCCTGAACCCTTCAGTCTGTGGGCCCACACTCTAACCACTGAGCATACTACCCAGGGCTCCCTGAGTCTCATTTTAAGAGCTAAAATTAAATAAGCCCTACAGAGCCTTTCATATTTAACAGCCCAGGATTCGCTCTGCCCACTCCTGGCACAGAGGATTTGTGATCCTCTGATTTTGCAGGAAATTCAAAGCAGGGGGACATGGTGGAGAATACGCTGGGAAAGAAAAAAGGCCACCAAAGGGAAAACTGGGGTTCAGACATTCATCTTCTCCATTTGGCCCGAGTCCAGCCCTCCCTTTACTTTGGTCAGAGCATTCACACCCCACTGTCTTCTCTATTCCTTTAACAGGTATAACATGACCTAGAGCTGTGGTTTGCCACTCTGTTGACTAATACTAGTGAGTTTGCCGACCACTGGGATAGGGGCTTAATCACAAGGAACAACAACACTTTTAATTATTGGAATCTCTAGGTCAGTGGTCAGCAAACTCATTAGTCAACAGCAGCAAACCACGGCTCACGTGCCGCATGTGGCTTGCAAGCCGCAGTTTGTCAACCACTGATCTAGAGGTTACTTTATAAAGACCCATGGACCTATTATTGCCTGCAAATAGAGCCTAGATGGTTTTTAAAAACTAAATTAATTTATGGAGCTGAAAAACAATCAAGATATGTCTAAACATCCAAATTTCTAGCTTCTCTTAAAACTCAAGAGAATTGAGTCCATGTTGATCCTAACAACAATCAGCTGGCTCTCAGGAAGGGCTGTGGATCCTCTTCACCAAAACTGCAGCTGTCCCATCCTGGTCCCCTCCACACTCGAGCTCATTTACAGAGCTTCCTTGACCCTCCTGAAGATGTGAATTCAACACTCTCTTCTTCAAGGCTTTTAAAAGACTAATTGATACTTAGTGGACCTTTCTTCTCCTTTGGCCTCCATTATCAGCATTATCAACAGACACTATTTCCTGCCTTAGTATCCACAGTAATCAAGGAATTTCCTGCAGGCGTAGGCACAACATCCAAGAGGGCCCATGACACTTGCCTTTGGGGTTTTCAATGGTCCCACTGGTGATAAACAAGAGGCTGAGAAGGGCCACCGTGATAGCAGTCATCATCACGAGAAGGAAGATCAGGAACGTCTCTAATGTAGAGAAGGTGCGCTTGGCCATTTTTCCTAAGAAAGCAGCAGAGATGGAAGAAGAAATAAGGAAGAGACAGAAAAAGACAGAATCATAAATTAAAATGCATAATATGCTTCAATCTGAGACGTCTTAGCTCTTTCATAGGAACAGACTAAAGAGCACATTCACCCCTAGTTCCATATCCCAAGCCCATAGCAGACAAGACCAATCGATTACAGCACTCTTCAACAAGTTCAGGTGGGCACAGTACTCATCCTGGTATCCACCACCCATCCTTTGGCATTGGCAACTAAGTGAAAACCTATTTGCCTTCCTCGGCTACATCACTGCTGCTTTCCTTTATGGTGATGATGCTATTTCTGGGTCTAGGTTGGAGCACTTCTGTCTGCGGGGATGATGGACCACCCATGTTGTTTGTGCTTGGGAGAGGGCTTGCTAAGGGGTGTGATCAGAGATTAAGTAAAATGATCTTGTCCACCTGGAGGTGATGTCCATACCATAGGCCTCCAAACCCCATGCTCTGAATTTCTCATCTACTCGATAAGAAAATGGCCTGGAAAGGGGGTTGGCATCTCTGATCTCAAGCCAGGTGTGAATAAAATGTTCCTCTTCGGTGATAAGGATCTCCACACATTTTGCAAACCCTGTTGCAGATGAAGAGGATAAAAATACAAATGCCCCTGTGTTCTACAGAAGTGGAGAACGTCCTTACAAATTCCTTAGGATATTTTAGGAGGAGAATTCATCTTATACAGAGGAACTATAGAAGCTTAAAAAGTCATATAACAGGAGAAAGTATAATAATGGTCATTAAAAAAATTGGATTCTGGAGTCTGACTCCAGAATTCAAATCTCATTTCTGCCACTTACTGCAACTGAACTTGGAAAATCCCAGACACTGAGCCTCAGTTTCTCCATCTGTAAATAGGAATATGATGGTTTTAATTTTAGTATCTATTTCACAGAGTTCCCAGCAAAATAAGAGGAGATAATGCAAGTGATAATTTGTTGGTTCCATGGAATGTGGCAAGTGCTCAAAATGTTTACATTCATCACTGGGTTCCAAATTGGCAAGACTCTGTGTTTCTCAAGGTCCTTGAAGGGCGTTTATATGAGACTACCATTAAAGGACTATTGGGATCACAGGAAGGGACTTGCTAGCCCACTTTATTAACCGTACTTTGGGAAGCCTGAGCAGTGAGATGGGACTGGAATCCCAAGACTTGCTCTCTCTCCCTTACCCCCCTGCCCTCAGAAATAATAATATATGGCAAAGATGCTGCTATCCCCAAGAGTTGTAAATTGGCAACAAACAATTGTGTTTAGTACAGCCCAGACAATTTTTGGTTTCAATTTGACTTAATTGACAAGATAAGAGATTAAGTCTCACAATTTTTCTATAGAGTCCACATTTGCAAATCTGAAACTTCAAATTTCTTTCAAAATACTCCATAAAACATGGCAACGCAGAGCCAGCATTCCCATTTGCCAAAAGTTTCAAAACTTAGTAGGTGCTGTGCTTTTTAGATGGTGTGTGCTTTCTCCAACCTGCCAGAGCTCCTACCTTGTGGTTCCTATACATCTAAATTACTACCTGGTCTTTGTAGTCATTTTATTTTGCAACCCCTGGACTAGAGGTTAAAAATCAACCAGCAAGCAAACACTTCAGAGGAAGGGCTGAACTGGGAATGGACAAAGAGACGGAAACATCTTCCTACATTTCCTGATTATTGGTAGACTTTCCTTATCCATATGGCACCACCATGACCACCTTTCAGACCAGCAGTAGAAACAACTTTAAATTTAGGGAGGAACAAATTAATTCTGCGTCTGGGTCCCAGGTTTCACAGACAGCCCCCAGAAGTGAGGAAACACATCTAAGCTTTGCCTCTGGAACTTTGATCATCCAAAGAGGCTTATTAGTCATTAGCTATTGTTTCAGTAGCAAACTTCAAACCCAGTACACCTAGTTCTTGCTCTAATCTTTGGTTTCTGTAAGCCTTTCTGTTAGCTGAGACAACTTGTGTACAAAAAAAGGGCAATAAAAAATGGATGACTGCCAAGTGGCCTCCCAACTCCAGATCATCTACAGGCAAATGGTATATATAAGAGATATAGTTACGTGGTAGGAGTCGGTGTAACAAACAACAAAATCATACTTTTTTTTTACACTAGTTTTTCTCTGTTGACTGATTACCACTACCCGCCTTTTGCACAAGTCAACAGAAGCACTTCATTTAACCTTAGAGTTCCCACCTCTTACTCAGAGTTGAGTGATGTGTTTCACCACTCTTACTTTGTTGCCAGAATTACTGCCAACATATCACAATCCTTTTGTAAGCCATTAGTACTATTTATTTCTCATAACAATTAAAATCTGATTTCAAACATTGAAGCAAAAGCCCTCTGTTTTGCTGCAGAAGGCAAATGGACCAAGAATTGCATTTTTTCTAAAATATGCATTTCCTTATGGTTCCCACTTAATCTAGCATAATCCTAGAAGGTCAATGATGAGACAACAGCAAGCCACTTGTCACATCTTTACAAATAGTGCTGAGGTCTGAAAGAAAAAAGTATGGGTTTCTGAAGCTAAGAAAATGGGGTGGAGGTTTGGGTTTTCATCAAGATCTCTGAGGCAATGGGTGACTCAAGATCCATCCCTCCCTCTCCAAAAAAATAGAGGCATTCTTACCTTATCCAACCCCTCAAAAGACTTTCTGCATCCGGGAAACCAAATGGTGGTCCAAAATCGTGTTTCCTTCCCCTTGCACGTTGCTCAGCTAAGACTTCTCAGCACTCTCTGATGCCTACAGAGGAAAGACTTTTCACAGTGATTTCCCAAAGAGTTCTCATTATCATAACTTTGTGGGCTGAGTACAAGGATAAGATTAAAGTGTATTGATAACAAAAGGTTTACAGACACTCTCCCTTGGGACAGCCTAACACTGAGGTAGAATTGCAGACCTGCGGGGCTGAAGGTCAGTCCTATGCAATGTGTACAAGCTGGAACAGAAAGAAAAGAAAGAAAGAAAGAAAGAAAGAAAGAAAGAAAGAAAGAAAGAAAGAAAGAAAGAAAGAAAGAAAGAAAGAAAGAAAGAAAGAAAGAAAGAAAGAAAGAAAGAAAGAAAGAAAGAAGAAAGAAAGAAGGAAGGAAGGAAGGAAGGAAGGAAGGAAGGAAGGAAGGAAGGAAGGAAGGAAGGAAGGAAGGAAGGAAGGAAGGAAGGAAGGAAGGAAGGAAGGGAGGGAGGAAGGAAGGAAGGAGGGAGGAAGAGAGGGAGGGAGGGAGGAAGAAAGAAAGAAAGAAAGAAAGAAAGAAAGAAAGAAAGAAAGAAAGAAAGAAAGAAAGAAAGAAAGAAAGAAAGAAAGAAAGAAAGAAAGAAAGAGAAAGGAAAGGAAAGGAGGGAGGGGGAGGAAGAGAAAGAGGGAGAGAGGAAGGGAGGGAGGGAAAGAGGGAGGGAGAGAGGGAGGGAGAGAGGAGGGAATGCTTTTCCCTCAACCTTATTCTGGTGGCATTAGAGTGGCTATGGGTCCCACTGGGCAATATTCGCACTGATTTAGGAACAGAAGAGCATTTTTAATTTTTAGTAATTATATGTGGTTAAGATTATGGATGGGTTTCACACACACACACACACACACACACACCCATCCCTTTTGGCTCTTGGTATTTTCTGTACTAGCCATGTAGCACATTTGTAAAGGGGGAATAAAACGTTCACCTCCTCTTGGAGAATACAAACCATCTAACAGCATGAAGTTAAACAGTGGCCCACCAGAGACAAAGAGAGTGAGAAGGAGGCCAGAGCCCCCTGTTGGGCCAGGTAAGCCCAAGCTGTCCAGGAAGCACTTTGAAGATGACAGTGGCCGCTTAATTCCTGGCAGAGTTTGGTCCACCCCTCATTTAGTCCAGCTAATAAACGAGGCCGGAATGATGGACTTAGAATCAAAACGTTTTGCGAGCCCCTAATGAAATGCGGGATCTAGGCCATGATCGTCCACAGCTGGCTGCTTATGTCACCAGAGGAGACAGGCCTCTGAGTGATGCACACCGACAGCTCAAGTATTGTGATTAAACCCAAATAAAATCAGCCCCCGGCTGTAAGTGCCTCTTTATGGGAAACACTAATGACCGGGGGGAATATGTCCGAGGATAATGCAGACATACAGGAAGCAAAACCCACATCATGAGAGACTCTCTAAGACAAGAGACCCAGGTCCTTTAACAAACACAGTGAAAGTGGAGAGGGAAAGAGCAGGAAGTGGAGAAGGGGGCGGGCAGGGGGAAGAGGAGGGAGGAGAGAGAGGAGGAAAACAGGAGGAGAAGAGAGACTGGAGGGGAGAGTAGGCAGGGGGAGGAGAGGGACCAAAAAGGAGAGGAAAGGAGAAGAAAGCTCTAGATTAAAAAAGGCTGAAGAGACATCAATCGGCTGCATGTTGTAAGCACTTTTTAAACCATCATTATTTGGAACTTGATTCAAACAAACTGTTTTTAAAATTATGAGACAATTGGGAAAATCTGAACACCAACTAGATATTTGATGATATGAAGGGATTATTGCTTTAAATGTTAGTGTAATAATGATTTTATTATACTTTTTTTTTAAATCCTTATCTTTTTGATACATCCCAAAACCAATAAAAATAAAATACCCAAAGTGCAAGACTGATCAGTGGATAGATATGGAGGTGCATAGATGATGGACAGATGGAAGGACAGATAGACGGAAAACAACTTCGTTCTGTAATATGCCAGTGGACGGGAGAGAGAGGGCTAAAAGCACTGTGGAGGGCATTGTAGAGAGCTTCACGCTCCACTCTCTTTAAACCCAGCCAGGGGCAAATGGGGGACCCTCCTATGCCTACGATCCAGATGTGCTTGAGGTTCTGCCTTTCAGAAGCTTTAGTGTGAGACCCTGGTTCAGAACTGAGCCGCTTGGGAAGAGAGACGAGGCCTGGGACATGGGGTTACTGTTTGGGATCGGGGCAGCGGGACCCTGCTGGCAACCTGGTGGCTGCTTCTGATGCCC